TATTTTAATAATGCTATACCACGTTCGATCATTCCTAGATGTGAATTGTGTATTGAACAATTGGGTTTACATTTCGAGCAACTACTTTAGATTTTTGTATGTTTGTCCTTACTATCCAATAGCATTTTAGTTGTAAATAATTAATTTAATTTGTTAAAAATAATATTGGAAAGTTAAACAAATTAATATTCTGTTTTTTTTTGTGTTTATTTGGAGTTAGGAATTATTGCTGTGTTTAAAAACACAGTCTAAACGATTATCTTAATTACTTGTAATGCCCAAATCGAAAATGTAAAAAAAATTATTTTCCCATAAATAATTAAACATGCATCGAACCTTAAAAATCGAAATATCTCAAAAACGGCTAACTACCTATAACGAAAACTCACAGGAGAGCTTTTTTATGTTGAAGTTGAAGTGCGAAGAATCAGTTTTTTTATTCCACTAAGAAAATTTTTTCGGTCATTTCAATACACTACAGGTACAGTAGAGAGCGCCCTCTAGCGGCTACAGTAAAACAATGCCCATGGTTCGTTTTGTCGTACAAAAAAACCCTTGTGTACCAATTTTCACTGTTATACATCAAATATTCTTCGAAATATTTAAAAAAAAAACTATTTTAGAAAGTAAATTTAAACACCCTGTATTTCGGAAGCCACGCATTTTTCGACCCATGTTTATATAGACTTTATGCATTAAGTTTAAAAGTTCTGTCGAATCTTGAAGTTATGCAACAATAAGCTGAAACACCCTGTATAGGGATGAATAGACGCGGGTTTGTCTGTACAGAGTACGGTCGAATTCTCACGAAAAACTTGTTCAGCATTTCCGAGAACTCCTCCTAGGCTGGCGCTGGATTTTGATTGTTCACCTGTTCACTCAATAATTGTGTGCTTCATTCGATTTCCTGTGCAAATGTTTTATTTGGTTAGTTTGTTAAGAAAGACTTATGCGGTGCGGTGTTTTCTGTGTGGAACTGTATGAATATTTTTTTGGTTTGAAACAAGCTATTGCATATATTGTGAATGAATACATAGTATTATTTTTTTATACATTTCCATATGAAATTATACTTTGGACCGGGTACTGAAAAGTGAGTCACAGCTAAGATTCCACGAACTGGCTTGGCGGGTCATATCTTCACATCGGGAGAAGTGTTTATCGATACAAACGAGCTCGAAGTGGAGTTCTCCATAAGTCAAATTGTGATCTAATAATTCGCCCGACAGATATTTCGGTCGAATATTTAATATTGAAATTGTCTCTTCTTCGTTGGGCTGACAAGCAAGGGCGGACTGAGGTACCTGTCAAGGTAGAGGGAAGGGGGCAGCGCCGGTTACATCAGTCATGTGAATGATGGCGGCATTTTCGGCGATTCAACAATTGAAACGTTTAAAAGAGCGGGAGGGTCGACGACAGATACATGCTTCCTTGTGGGAGCAAATGCTTTTGCGACGGTTGAAGAGCGGGGGTGTGATAGGTCTATGGAAGGCCCAGATCTCTTCAGGTCCAGCGACGTAATCTTTACACCAATATACAGCAATTTAGCAAGCCTGTCACACCACTGCGGCCTGTACGGACCGCTTAGTATTCGGTTTATTTTTTAATTTACGATTTATTTCCCCCGTCATCCCGGTCAGACGGTCATACTTCAGATAATCTAATAAGTTATAATATACGGATGCAAAATGGTATGTTATTTATGTCTTGTTTCGAAACAGTCCAGGCAAAAGTACCACAATACTGATCACTTTTGGTACCTTATTTCTTGGTATTTCACTCCTGGTCTTTGTTATTATAACATCCTTTATAATATCGTCTTACTTCATGATATTGTGTAGCCAGCGAAATATTTTTCATAATATTAATAATACTCATCTTTAATGAAAAAGTACGCATCAATACATTTAACCACTAGAAAAAAAGTAAAATAAATTTCTATAATATTTGAATGACTGGATATAAAAATTAATATAAAATAATAAATACCCTTTTTATGTTTCGTAAATATTCCTGTATGACCATATTTCCTCACCTGTTAGTTTTCATATATTTCACCAACCAGGGATTTATCAACAACACAGATTATTAGGACACAAATCCTCACTATGCAGCTATGCACTGCCATTTCCTTGCACCTGTGGTGTACAACTCACAGCTTAGACATCCAATAATGCCATATCTGAAGCAGTCGTTACATCACTTCAGAGCCAAACATTGATACCTGAAGCATCATGACGTTTAGGCAGCACGTACGGCTACGGAACGACTAGGTGCAAAATTGTCATCTTGTAGAAAAACCTACATAATGTCACAAAAAACCTATATAACGTCAAAAAAAACGACATAATGTCACCCTTCAAGGAACGTAGTACCATTGCTGGACGACTAAGGCCCGTATCGTCAGTCGTCCCTACAATTGTAGGGCGCGTTTATGGCCTCCTTGATTGTGATACTCCTTCCTCTCCTTCAAAAATTTCTAGATTACACTTGTCCCGTGTCAGCGTCAGCGCTTTTCTATTGTGAAGATATGTTTTCTTTTTAAATTGTAGGAAATTTCAGGCTGATAAAACATGATATAACTCAAAAGCAAGCACAATTTGATGCAAATAGATGTTTGTGACATAGCCTCAAAATAGAGCGCTGACACGGAGCAGAACAAAACTATCACAATCAAGGAGGCCATAAAGGCGCCCTACAATTGTAGGGACGACTGACGATACGGGCCTAAGAGTTAGCAATACTATTGAAATTTCAAACTAGTGTCAATGAATGAGAAGCTCATGTTCAACGTACTTAACTGAGTTAGAGTAAATAACATATAGTAAGTGCTAAAAAGTAAATCTGTGTCTTGAAGGGCTCAGATTTAGTTCAACAAGGACATGGTTTGGAAGAGAACACCTCGTTCAGATGCTGGAACGAGTTGAGAAATGTGTTAAGAGCTAGGAAGTTTTCACGTCGACTCACATCATTCCTTATATCATTGCTCAGTCGAGACCCAGCTTTTTCCACATGTCTTGGCTACTGCCGCTCAGACCAAGCTGTCTATGCTTGGATGGTATCCCAGGAGGGCCACTCAACTGACTGGTAGATGATCTCAAGGTTATCTCACATTGTTAACGATATGCCAACAGGGATGCTTTTCTAAGCTCGACTACATGATGCCGTCATTACAGCTTTGTAGATGTACAATTATTGGCACTACCATATATGACCATAACAAATCGTATACAATACTGGATCGAGCTCTTTAGATAAGACTTTAATCATTCTGTGTTTAGTTTATGTAGCATTTGCACATCATGTCAAAGCTGATAGTATGGTGGTGGGTGACACTTGCCCATTTCACCGAATACGACTGGCATTGACAGACACCAGGAAATGTATGTAGTTCAATGTGAGTGGAAGACTGGATAATATATATCTATGCCCAGAAAGAGAGCTCGTGAAATTATGGATATAAAAAGGTCACTATTAATATAATTAATATTAAGCTTTCTAATAAATAATGTATGATGTACCGTTATTATTATTAATATTACTATCCGACCCGACAGACGTTGTCCTGTCTTAGCTATGAACTGGGATGAATAATGTGTAATAAAAGGGTAAAGTTATGAAATATAGGAATTTAGCGAAGTGTTTGTACTGCCATGTGGCCAGCAGAATACGTTAGCAGCACTGTCACTCCCTCACCAAATTACCTCGAAAGTAGGCATAAAATTATGTCGAATGAATTTTGTTGCGCCAAATGACGTCATTGGAAAGCAATTATTGTATTGCTGGATATGGGTCAAAAAATGTATATTTCTTTAAACCAATGAGTGTAGTGGCTCTGGTGGTGGTACAAATTGTTATGAATTGTAATCGATTGCCACATCATAATTGAATGCAGCTCGATTGGGATTAAATTCACACTTCTACGTTGTTGAATTACAACCCTTCAATTCGTTCAACTTCATTTCTCGCCTCTCGTTGGTCGACAGTTTGACTTCTTCGTATATATGTTTGACTTGCAGCATTGCGAGTTCTACGACCTAGGTTGGTACGTCTAAGTGGTGGCATTTTGATGAACTAACTTAGACTCTTGTTAATTTTGTTTAACAAATGCTTCTCAAAAAACTCACTGACAAACTGAAATCTGGATCAAAGCTCTAATCGAATGGACTGTGCACTACTAATTAAATCAAACAATATTTTTTCATCGATAAACACTTTTAAACCATAATATAAATTTGCGGCGTGCGAGCTGTCAAGTTCAAAATGATTGTGTAGTGAAAGTCAATTAAGCAAAAGAAACGTATTTCCATCCGCCATTTTTATTCATGGAGTTAACTGACAAAGATAACAATTAAACAACACTGAAGTTTCTTTTGAAGGAGCTGTCGCAAAGTACGGACGGTAAAGAAATAACGCATGTCTAAAAACGAACGCACCCTGTTTTCGTACGCAATTTTCTCTCACATAGCTAACTGTCGATAGCTGTTGGAATAAAGTTGGTGGAGAGGAGTGCCTGTCTATTTTGGTACTTGAGACATTTCTTCTGCTGTGCATGTTCCATGCTCAAGCAATTTTCTGCGCAGAAATCTTCTATGCATTATTAGGAAACTTTTAAAATAAAGATGAATGAAATCAGTAAAGCCGTTCTCAAGTTATGGCGTGACCATGCGAAATGGGGATTCATTTTTATATATATAGATTATTAAATCTAGCAAACTACTCATAGTTTCCCCAGCTCTGCTAGCTAGGCTAAAATTAAGAATTAAATTGAATTTTTCCGATATCATCTTTGCTAGAGAAAAGCTTTATCAATATTTTTTAATCACTGTGAACTGCTTATCATCATCCGCAATTGAAGTAGCAAAAACGGTATAATTCCGTTGTAGTTAATTAATATATAATCTTGCCATAGCATGAATCTTACCCGTCTTATCTGCCACTCCAAACTTGATCCCAAGTATTTAAGTGAAGACATTGAATAAGGGTATGTCCATTTCAAGATGAATCTTCAGGCACGGCTACTGTTTCTCTTAGCATATTGTTCTGCCACATCTTGGGCACTAATTCCTCACATCAACCCGTTCAAGCTACAAGAGGTCGAATACCATGGAGATGATGTTGGTGAGCCATTGATACTGACGCCACTTTTAGAACAGGGGAGAATAAAAGATGCTCGAATAGCTGCCTCTGTGTCGTTGAGTGGTTGCGCTGAGGTAGGTTGCTATTTTCTTGTTTGGTATGTATCTTGACGCTTGCTGCTAATCTGGGAGAAGTCACTTAGGTCACATGTACCCTAAGTTTGACATTGAGCACTTATAGGAGTGTATAAAAGGTGTCATCACGTGATCCAAGTTGTTTGTCGGCTGTTGTTAAATATGGTGGATAAGTGGTTAGGATTTTGGTTCGAACTGAGATCACATGGATCTTCACCGCCTCAGTAGTTAGTCTCAGACTTTGAAATGTTTATAACGTTACTTTGGCTTTAGTATTTGCGAGACCAACACGTTTACAATTCCGAATTTTGTTTTTTACTCTCACAAAAATTGCTCATTTTTTCATTTAATGTAGGTTCAAAGGTCAAGTGCATAGATTCTGAATCAGATTCCAATTTGTCGTAATAACCCAGATTCCAAAACGACATTTTTTCTCGATTCTGGCCACATGACGCTCCGTGGTTTCATTATGATCGATGAAATTTCATTGGCTTGTGATAACAGGGAACCAGCACGGAAATTTTCACTAGAGGGTCTTTCAAATATTTTGAGTTTACTCATAAGTAAATATTCACGACTCCTCACGTATCTATTAGTTGGTCTGAGAATCCGCTTCTTGGGTGAATTGGTTGCGTAGATTCACTTCAGTGACTCGTACGTTCCCAATGTATCAAGTTTAACTCGTTCTAATAATAAAAACTGGATATTTATAAAGTTCTATGAATCAGGTATCTTTCTTATATCGTATAACAGCGTACAGGGACCCAAGCTTACAGGGGCCTCCAAGTACGAAACAAATGAGTACAGTGTTATTCACAGTCTCTCGCAAGTTGACAGGCCGTACTCAAATTCATCAAAATCAAAATCACACATTCTCAAGCCCTAAACGTCAGACTGTATGGCTAGGTGATAGTAGCATGCTTCCTATTTTAGCCCTCTAGATTACGACTGTATCAGCGAAAAGAAGCTTTTTGAAATTAAAAGTAAATGAATCATGGTAATGACTTCAGATGTTGATAATGATCATTTCACACTTTCGCATCAACCATTGTGAGCATCATTACATGTTTCAATAGAAAGCTTTTGTTTTTGTTTAATTGCACGTCCTATGTCGGTTCCAAATACTTTATTTTGTTTTCTATATAACTTATTTCCTCGTTTGTGACATCTACTGTTTCCTTTACAAATCTTATGCGAATGCGTCTGCAAAATCGTGTCGAATAAGGCAAAGGGTTTCGCCATATTATCTTAGTATAGTACCTTCGCTAGAAGACAACCGTAACGGAACAAATGAACTTTGGAATATATTTGCGTCACAATCGAAGTTATTTTCAAAATCTTGATTAAATGTTGTCTGCTGTGACCCATCACTTCCCCATTTATATGTCAAAATTAGCGTGTTTTTCTCTTCACTATTTAAATTCTGGAGAGAGAGCTGTCAAATGCAATAAAAGCGAAGCAGTATGATTTAATAAATCTTGAAGATTAAGTTCAGCGCAAGTAGCAGTGATTTTATAAGATTCTTGTACAGGATAGCAGTCTTTTTTAGCCTTTGATAACAAGCTTAGATTCCGAAGTCATGTGTCTAGGCTTCTACAAAAAGCCTATTTTAATCTTCGCAATAATAACAAAAGTAAAGATATTCTTAGTTTGAAGTTAAAAAAGGTTCTCTGCGAAACACTGGTCTTGTGTCACCTGAACTATTGCAACTTTGTGTATGGTCCTTGCTTAGATGTATTTACTAAGGATAAACTGCAAAAAGTGCAGAATTCTTGCATGCGACTTATTTACCAGATTAGACGTCACGATCATGTCAGTCATAAACTTTCCGAACTGAAATGGTTGAATGTCTCCAATCGAGAAATGCTGCATTTTGTTTGCTTTCTTGATAAATTGATTATAACTAAAAGCCCTCCATATCTAATTGAAAAATTAACTCGTTAAAATCTGATTCACTCACGTGCAATACGCTTTAATATACTTTATGAAATACCTAAAATAACTAAAGCCATGACTCAAAGCTCATTTTCCTATACATCAGTCAGATTTCTAAACCAATACAGTATAGGTCAATTTGAAGATATGTCTCCTAATATGTTCAAACGAAAACTGAAACAACTGCTTCTGTGAAGTATAGGTTGTTTATTATTGCTTATTTTCTTTGTATACGTACATCTGTAGTTATTATTGTTCAGTGTTGTTATGTAATATTCTAAAATTAATGTAATGTAAAACTTGTTTCTTGTCATATTACTTTTCTTTTTGGCTTGTTGATACTTTTTACATACTCGCTTAAGTTAACAGCATAGCTGGCCTTCGCCGAGTTTAAAATAAAGGCGTTTTTATTTATTATTTATTTATTTTGTAAGGTCGTATAGGATGGGTATAGTTTCTTGTCAAAACTTCTAATTGTATCATACTGTCTTCTTGTCGGGTCAGCTTCGGCAAACATAGACAATGCTTTCATTGGGGTTAATACGGTTGATAGCTGCTTTCCGACATTTTGAGATTGAATGAACGCTTTTCGATATTTTTTGCTCGCGTTGGAGATTGCATAGGTCTTTTATCACCTGTGAAGCATCGGTCTTGCCCTCAGAACGTAACTTCGAATGAGTGGCAAAAGTCACCTCTTCAGAGCTAATACAGGGTGTCCCAGAAGTCGACGTCAAGCCGAAACCGGGTGATATGTAAAGTCATAACAGCTATCAGAAAAATATTTAAAAAACATTTATGTATGCGTTTTGAAAATTATAGGCCTTTGAAAAAAATATATAAATTTCACACCCTACGGCAGTCTGTCAACTCCTGTTACTACAAATATTAACTTTTTTTGGATTTTATTTTTACAATGTAATGAGGAATAATGCATCTTCAAACGGGTGTTTCAACCTTACTGCCAACTTTTCTCGTTCAGGAAAAATTGCCACTTATTTCCCAACCAAGTATTCCAAAGTAAAACTTTGCTCAACTTTAACTGGCTGTACTGGAAAAAAATGTACTACGAGAGTTTGGCAAGTAACCTTAAACGTTGGCGCATTTAATAAGGATTCCAAAATGGTATAACACTTAGAAGATTACTCGTTAACTTATGCACAATTTTTATTTGAAGAAAAACTGATGAACATTTTTCAAAATTTCCTAATTAAACAACTATTATGAAAACACACAAGGACCCTTAAGGACAACTGTTTGCACAACAGTGGGCGTCAAAATGCTGCTGATGATGATTTACCTTTACAGCAAATGCTCAAACTGTTTTCCTTCAGCCGCAATACACGCTCGACATCTTCTTAAAAAAGATCGGGTTATTAAACGAGCGAATCCACGGTTATTAACAAACTCAGCTGCTTCCAATAGTCATTGAAGTAGCTCAGCTACATTTTGAATCGGCTTGAAATACACTTTTCCTTTTACAGTTCCCCAGTAAAAAAAATCTAACGGATTCAAATCTGGTGACCGGGCTGGCCACGGTATTGTACCAGACCGCCCTATCCATCTGCCTGGAAAGTTTTGATCGAGATACTCTCTCACTGAGAGTGCATAGTGCGCTGGGCAGCCATTATGTTGAAACTACATTTCCCTGTAAATACTCAGTGGCACGTCCTCGAATAAATTTTCTAAATGATTTTGCAAAAAACCTAAATAAACCTCAGCAGTCAAAATCTCTGGGAACTCAATCGGACCGATTATTTTACCATTTAAAATTCCTGTCCAATGGTTTATCTTGAAGCGATATTGAGATTTATCTTCTCTCATCAAATGTGGGTTTGCTACGTGCCACTCGTGTAAGTTATGCAGGTTCATGTACCCATCTTTCTTAAATGTGGTCTCATCTGACCATAAAATTTTTTCAAAGAACCGTGGATCTTCCCTGTGTCTTTCTAACATTGTGCGACAAAAAGCAACTCGGGGCTCATAATCCCGGGGCAGAAGAGCTTGAACACGCTGTACGTGGTATGGATGGAGCAAGATTCTATGGGCTGTACTTTTGGGCACACCTGTTTTTAGTTCTATTGCACGCACTGAAGTACTCGGGTCTTCTTCGACAGCTCCTAGCACCACGTCTTCGTAAGGAAGGAAAGATCTTCCCTCACCGTGTGATTGGTTTGGTAGTGGGCCCTCTGAGAACAGTAAGCGGTGCACATTTGTGAACACTCGATGATCTGGATGACGAGCTGCATTCGGGTACCTCTCACAGTAGTCTCGCTGCAGCACTAGCGTTGCATGTGCATTCCCCATAAATGAGGTTCATGTTAGCGTATTCTTGTACGGTGTACACGGACATAACGGCACTGCACAATCACACTATCAAAGGTAGTCTAAGGAAAGCAAATGTTGTTTCGAAGAGCTATTAAACAGTCGAAATCCAAATCACAAGCGATCAACAGTCCAGTTCACGAATCCAAAATTAGTAACAGTACGAAATCAACAAGCATGAACATGTAAAGATGCGCAGTAAACGAAGGAGTACTGATCGGTATCAAAGTGTGCAATACCAAGTAAGTGATGTGCTTCATCCATACCACATACAGCGTGTTCAACCTTTCCTGCCCCGGGATTATGAGCCCCGAGTTGCTTTTTGTCGCACAATGTTAGAAAGACACAGGAAAGATCAACAGTTCTTTGAAAAAATTTTATGGTCGGATGAGACCACATTTAAGAAAGATGGGTACATGAACCTGCATAACTTACATGAGTGGCACGTAGCAAACCCACATTTGATGAGAGAAGATAAATCTCAATATCGCTTCAAGATAAACCATTGGACAGGAATTTTAAATGGTAAAATAATCGGTCCGTTTGAGTTCCCAGAGACTTTGACTGCTGAAGTTTATTTGGATTTTTTGAAAAATCATGTACAAAATTTATTGGTGGACGTGCCACTGAGTATTTACAGGGACATGTGGTTTCAGCATGATGGCTGCCCAGCACCCTATGCACTCTCAGTGACAGAGTATCTCGATCAAAACTTTCCAGGCAGATGGATAAGGCGGTCTGGTACAATACCGTGGCCAGCCCGATCACCTGATTTGAATCCTTTAGATTTTTTTACTGGGGAACTGTAAAAGAAAAAGTGTATTTTAAGCCTATTCAAAATGTAGCTGAGCTACGGCAAAGACTATTGGAAGCAGCTGAGTTTGTTAATAACCGTGGATTCGCTCGTTTACTAACCCGATCTTTTTTAAGAAGATGTCGGCTGAAGGAAAACAGTTTGAGCATTTGCTGTAAAGGTAAATCATCATCAGCAGCATTTTGACGCCCACTGTTGTGCAAACAGTTGTGCTTAAGGGTCCTTGTGGGTTTTCATAATCGTTGTTTAATTAGGAAATTTTGAAAAATTTTCATCAGTTTTTCTTCAAATAAAAATTGTGCATAAGTTAACGAGTAATCTTCTAAGTGTTATACCATTTTGGAATCCTTATTAAATGCGCCAACTTTTAAAGTTACTTGCCAAACTCTCGTAGTACATTTTTTTCCAGTACAGCCAGTTAAAGTTGAGCAAAGTTTTACTTTGGAATACTTGGTTGGGAAATAAGTGGCAATTTTTCCTGAACGAGAAAAGTTGGCAGTAAGGTTTAGACACCAGTTTGAAGATCCATTATTCATCATTACATTGTAAAAATAAAATTCAAAAAAAGTTAATATTTGTAGTAACAGGAGTTGACAGACTGCCGTAGGGTGTGAAATTTCTATATCTTTTTCAAAGACCCATAATTTTCAAAACACATACATAAAATTTTTTTAAATATTTTTCTGATAACTGTGATGACTTTGCCTATCACCCGGTTTCGGCTTGACGTCGACTTCTGGGACACCCTGTATAACTACGGAATGCTTCTGTTTTACGTCTTTTACTTCGCTCGCTAATATTACTAAAAGATTTATATGGGCGCCCTGGTCGTAATTTTGTTTGTGGTATGTCATTTGGAGCCAAGGATTATTTCTTTTAAGGAAAAGATCTTCTATGTAATGTGCGGCAATCCATCTACGTTTTATTTCTGATTTGAGATTTGACAACTTGTGTATAACTTCTTTTCGTTGTTCTTCTGAATAATTTTGAGAATTCAACAAAAAAGATTCAGCATAGACCAGTTTTTTTGTTGATGTCGTTATTGGGATACCCTTGCATAATGTCGTAAATTTTTTTTCGAGTAATGATCCTGTCTCCAGGGGGCCCTATAAAGAAAGAAAAGATATGGCTTAAACGAATGTTCAGCTTTACTTTGGCGAGTATACTGATATTTGGATGAAGTTGGAAGCATTTTCTGTCTGTATGATTAGCCAAGATCTAACTATACAATATGAGACCAAAATCATAATCGAGATACATCCAATTAAAATTGACAAAATTGGTTGTACATACCTGCCTCAGAAACGTCCTTGTTGAAAAACTGGTACACTATTCGTAATTACCTGTAAAAGCTTTGAAATACGTGAGCAATGAAGAATGATCAAATTCGCACCGAGACAACTGGCGAGAAATGGCAGTGGGTAAACAATAAGGTGTGAGGCTTTTTCTAGCATCTGATCCGGTATCCTTAGGCACATACCAGTTTTGCGAAACGAGCTACTCCGCAAAATTGACGTTTGCCCGTATGTGCAATGATGCAATGTTGCAGAGTCTGTTTCGACCTAAAATGGGATGCCGCTAGGCTGCACGATCATTATCTGTGTGTAAAAAATAAACTAACGCATATTTTCCATATGAATATTTATTCAAGGAACTGGTGCAAGATATTGGCAACGCGGCGAATGAGCGATTATGTTACTTTCTAGGGCATTATTAAAAGAAATAGGTATGACAGATAGCGTCTTTTTTCCTACCACATGAAAACAGATGGTCTATCATGGTTTTACACTTCTGGGGTGGGCTCTGAAGTTTTGTTATATTCCTGAAAACTGTAAAAACGCTGCGTTTATGTTTTTGCAACAATTTGAAATTGCGTGGTTGCCTTACTTTCCCAGTCCAGCTTTAGAAGTACTGTGAAACCTACCTACTCTTAGTGAACTGATAATATTACAGAAATACAAAATGCATAAGAAGTAATTTACATTTTGTTAGTTAGTAACTGAATAATTTTGTTAAGACCAAGTATTTTTTTTGTGTCCTGCTTGATTTACAATTTCGGGCTACTAAGGAAGTAATTATGATTGTACCACCTTGTATGATATACCATAAGAAACAGCAGAAGCTGATGATCTTTTTGCAATGACTCCGAACTCCACCGTTGTCAAAATTATCCATAAATTCATTTATAAACTCCACAAAGCACTGAAAAATCGAACCATTCACTAACCCAACAATAATTTTTTATAATAGGTACGTGGAAACTTGGAAACTACTTGTATAGACAGACTATGATGAATGATAAAACTAGAAGAACAAATAAGTCGTTCTTTGGTATTGATCAAGCGATGTCTTGTTGCATGATGCTGGTTTCAGATTTCATAAGAATGCGCACAACTCAAAAACGGTTTGACTTTGTTATAAAGTATGTGTGGCTTAATTTATTCCAAATATGGTATCCTATCACCCCATACTGTTGGCATCGAACTTAGTAACACTCCGTATTTCATGTTCTCTTTAGAAACATATGTCAAAAGCTCCTCAACAAAAGTTTCTATAAACATAGATCCGGAAATCGCAGAGTTTTCAAGGGTTTACAGGTTGTTGAATAAGAAAAAAAAAACTTTTTAGAGAAATTTCGCAAATAAAATTATGTGAATAATTCTTTGCTAGAAGAATTGACGCGTATATGTCAAACCATAAATGATTTTTCGTGCAAAAATAAATGGACCAATTTTGTGCAGTGAAATTTAATAAAACGGTAAAGAAGATGTATTTTTGGATGCTCAGTCAAACAACAGATATTAAACTTACAAAAAAGGCGGTGGCGGTGACGTTAATTGTTTATCAATAATATTCGTTGAGGCGCCCCCTGGAGGCCACTGGACGTAATAATTTTAATCTATCTAGGGCTATATTAGCATCTTATTATAACAAATAATATTGCCAAATTTCAACAGAATCGAGTAAATATTTTGTAAGACAATCATAAAAAAGGTTTAAATTGATCACCCTGTACCTTGAAAGCTCTGCATTTACGGAAACACTTTTTCATATTTTTTAACAATGAATCATCGTCTAAAATATCTCCATCTATTTTTCAAGCATCCTGTATAATGATGATTCCCCATCGGAAAATTAATTTCAGAGTAAGGGTGCTGTTAGCCCATTAGCTGCGTACATGTCACTATCATTATGTGGAGGTAATGTCAGTGTGCAATCTTAGTTTATAATGAACCTTGACACTGACTGACTGGATAGATCCAGTTGTCTTTCCCAGAAGGGTTGATATCTAGCAGCATGTGCAGCCTGAGAGGAGGCTTTGAACCACAATAAATTTATTTCAACTCTGAATCAAAAACGCAGATACCTGCTGTCAGCTTACGCAAATATGACATTGATATGCTGCACGCAGCAAAATTGGAGTGCGTTTATATTGACAGCCGTATGAAATGGACGGCACATGGGAAGGACCTCATCAAATCTCTTTCGAGGTGTATCTTTATTATCCCGAATCAAAAAACAATGTTTCCGACAGTGTTCTCCTCACAAGCTACTACCCATATTTCAACAGTAAGATGCCATATGCAGTTATTAATTGGGGTCATTCCACAAAGTCTTTGGGATACAAGGACGATGCGTAAGGCAATTTAAATAATCTTGTTTTGCTACAATTAAGGCTCCAGAAATCAAGATTCGGGCCCAACTACTTTGACATTAAGTTCTTCAATGTGTTATAGTATGCAGTTTGGTAATTATGCCTCCAGGGATGTAATGAAGAAGTACGTAACTGAAAAAACTTCTCACACATTTGATGAATTTCTAAATAATGACTTCTCAAATCTAATATTCTGATTATCATACGCTTTATTTTAGACTTTACTCAATACGTCTGCTCTTTATTTTATTTACCTTAGGTGTTTGCATGCTCTAGTTTGTTTATATACCCCTTTTAAGCTTTTCGATAATATTCAATAACATCAATAAAATCGTCATAACATCTATTTTGTTCAACCGTTCGAGTTACCCTAGTGTTTTTGTTATTTACATTAAGTGAGTTCATAATTTATTTTCATTCTAATTTTTCTGTACTTGCGTGTTGCGCTCTTATTTGTTATATATTACGTGTTTTCTAGATTGTTCTTTTGCACCTTTGACGATTTTTAATCATTCTTCAATTATTTGACGCGTGCAATCATACTGTGGACTTGGCACTAATATTTATATATTTTATTATTTCCACTGATTGAAACTATTCTTCTGACTCATAACGATTTAATTTTACAGGACATAACCAGTTATGCTGGCTACTTCACGGTTAACAAACAGTACAAATCCAACTTGTACTTTTGGTTTTTCCCATCAACCAGTGATTACAAGAAAGACCCAGTGGTATTATGGCTTCAAGGTGGACCAGGCAGTCCATCCATGTATGGCCTTCTCATGGAAAATGGGCCATTTACTGTGAACAAACACCTGCAACTGGAATTAAGAAAACACTCCTGGACCAACAATCATTCAGTCATTTACATAGACAGCCCTGTAGGCACCGGCTTTAGTTTTACCAAAAACGATAGAGGTTACGCTAGAAATCAAACTCAAGTTGGAAGTGAGCTATACGAAGCACTACAACAGTTTTTCCAGCTCTTTCCAGAAATCAGAAAGAACGACTTCTTCGTCACTGGAGAATCGTATGGAGGAAAGTATGTTCCTGCTTTGGCCTACACGATTCACAAAAATAACCCGGATGCTCAAGAAAAGATTAATTTGAAAGGTATTGCTATTGGAAATGGTTATATAGACCCAAAGCATCAAAGAGGGTATGCGGAGTATCTTTACCAACTTGGGCTTGTTGACAAGAAGGCCTCAAATGCTATTAAGGACCTCGAAGATAAAGGTAAGTGCTTCCTTTCCTTAACGAATATCCATACTCGTTTGTTTCTCTTTCGTCTTCAACATTACTTGTGTCTTTCCATTTGAATTTGCTATAACGGATGCATTTTAGTTAAATGTTGATCATCAACAATTTTGTTCCCGCCTAGGGCCATGTCTACATTGTAGGACACTAAATGCCTGTATGACGTATACACGGTGTAAGCGAGCTCAAAACAGTACTTACTCACAAGAACTATGGTGCTCTACGGTTATCTAAGGACTGGCTACTTACGGTGTAAACATCGTCTAGACTGCGCTAGTCTGGTGAGATGTGTAACTCTCAAAAATAAATCGAAAGGGGCAGATTTGATGAAAATGTACCATACACAAAGAATTATGGTGATCAATTGGCTAGCTACGCCTACGATGTGAACATGGCCTAGGCTATGCTAGTTTGGTTGGGGGTCAAGCTGTCAAACTGAATCTATTTTTCTGGATACTTCATCGCGCTTTGATGTCTACTGAGGTAAACAGCTGCTGAGATTGTTATATATTTTTAGCCTTAGATATGACCGCCTATTTAACTAGCGCATCTACTTTCAGATGTAGCTTCATTATTCGTAAAACACGTTTTTTTTTACTTTGCCCGAACCAGAATATTTGGAACGTGTGTAAATATTACGATATAATATTATGCGAAGGTATACATCACATATTATTAGCTATAATATAAATAATACTCTCTTCTATGATTTCTGGTACCACCGTTAACAGCGCCATCTGATGATTGCGCCGAACACTAACACATAACAAACGAATTTAAAACAACGATTGTTTACAGGATTCTGATCAGGGACACTTGCCCCCTCTGTTATCCTCGAGTTGCATTATATTTATAAAGACATGTATATAGGGTGTTGCTAATTATGCTAACTTAAAAAACATGTATTCGTTTAGAAATTAGACAAGAAAAGTGAATACTTTACATCTGAAAAATGGCGTCAAATCCATTAATAGATACCTATACATTCTGTTACCATGTTCGCCTTATCGAAAATTTTGAATCCAATTCAATTTCCTAGTTTGTAATTCTTCCAAATGCATCATAAAATACAACACAAGATAGTCGTTCGAAGATATTTAACTCAGCTACATTTGAAATATAAATTCAACATCCTCGACACCATTATTAAACCAACCAAAAGCAAGACAAACTATACCTTTTTGCTTACTGAAACTAGTCACATACCTTGGCGCTTTAAAGCAAATACAAAATATTTATAGGGATGACGCTAGGCTGCGCTTGTGTGGTTAGGGGTCATAGCTATCAAACATAGAGACTGATTAGAAAGGTGATCTAAAGAAGACAAGATATAATCAAAACCTATTTTACACGCGCTGACGTCTATTGACGTAATCAGCTGATCGCCAGTTGACATGTTTGCCTGGTTATAACCTTAGATACGACGGATATGAACCCCAACCAGCGCCATCTGCTCCTGACTTTTCAACTTACCCTATCGAATCTGCATAAAAACCCTAGTTAGAGCTGCTTGACCGAGAACTCTGCCTGAGGAGTAAAAGATCATACTGATAGCGTTTCGTAATTGTAATTTTTGACTCAAGATGTGTAATCAGAAGGTGGTTTAGGTGTCCCCAACCTCCTCTGACTCATATGGTGTCCAAGACTCGAGTTTTTATCCAATGGCTGAGCTAAATCTGTTTGCTTTCCCACCCCTGTAACCATGACTAACTACATACAAAGTTGGTTTTGGCTATTTAGTTTTCATCAGTACGGTCTAGTCCTGTGGAGACAAAAGAACGGAAAGGCTACTGGAAAATTGTTGCGCAGGAAGAACTGATATCACTGACAATTAATAATAGATAATAATAACGATATTCATCTGTCTTCAAAATATGCACCATACTCAAAAAAGAATTATATCGAAACAAACAAATGAAAACCCCGCAAAATGGTAACTAAAAAATACAAAATGCTCTCATACTAACAACGACACAACACGATATGGTTTTCCTTATTTCTGTGTCTCAATTCGGGTCCCATACAGGGTTATCCAAATTAAGTGTCCACCATTAGTAACTTTGTTATTAGTGAAAATACAAAGTTGTTTGAATTAGCAAACTAGTAGCGTTTTTAACGCTGGTAAAAATGAGAAATAAAAAAAACAATTGAGAGTCGTTATTTTGATTTTTTCAGTAAAATAACATTTTTTTAAATGGAAACCCCTGTATATTATATTTTTTTCTGTTAAAGCATCAAATTTTAAACAAAAAAGCTATACAATAACTTTTCTCCTAGGTTACAAATTGTTGAAGTTATGGCCTCCAATCTGAAACAATTAAATTGTATCGACAAACTTTATTTTCAACATCAACTTATAATCTTACAAAATACAATAACAATTTTTTTTAAAGAAGATGCTCGAAAACACCACCTTGTTCTTCAATACATTTTTGGGCACGTTTTTCAACTGCTCGAACTGTCTTAAGTATGGTCCTACCATCTATCTGGGTTATCTTTTCCCTAACTGCAGTCTTTAACGCGTCAAGGTTATCGTACCTTCGCTTGTAAATTTGGTTCTTTAAGTAACCCCACAAGAAGTAATCAAGTGAGTTTAGATCTGGTCATCTGGGAGGCCACTGTATTGGGCCATTTGTTCCTATCCACTGATCATTAAAAGTAGTACATAGAAAATGATAAGTACCTCTGGAGTTGTGGGCAGGTGCGCCATCTTGCTGAAAATGCAGATGATGTCTACTTATAAGATCCAATTCGTCTAAGAAATTAGTCAGAATTTCTGACATAAATTCCACATATCTTTCACCAGTTAGGGTTCCCTCATAAAAGAACGGGCCAACAATTTTTGAACCAATTATACCGCACCAAACGTTGAAACTGAAACGGACTTGTGGGCCTCTTGGATGTACTAACAAAAGATTTTCTCTTGACCAATAATGGTGGTTTTTTCTATTAAACATTCCAGAATTTGAAAAATTTGATTCATCTGTCCATAAAAGCTAACGAAAGTTATTTACATTTTGGCTACAGAAGCTAAGATACCAATGGCAAAAAACAAGTCTTCTCTCTGGATCCCCTGCCAAAAGCGTTTGAACTGGTCGGTACATATACGGAATAAATTTGTATTTTTTTAAAATCCTTTGAACAGTACAATAACTGAAATTAGAGTCCTTGAGAATATCTGCTATTGAATTCTCACGATAAGCTTCAAAATATCCAATAACTGCAATTTCCGGGGCCTCGCTTATTATGAATTCTTTTTTTGCCCTTGTTTTAGCAAAAACATTTTCGTTGCCCCTAAATTTTCGATAAAGTCTCAGAAAATATCGTTCATACGGTTGAATGCGAGCGGGATATAATTCACTGTAGTATTCTCTTGCTCTCAAGGAGGATTTTCTGCACACTAAATAGCATTCTAACATATCACACTTTTCTTCATGGGAGAACATTTTTCTTTAAATTAATGACACAATAAAGCTTATAAACAAGTATTTACACTAATGTTTGACATTATTTGATTTTATCATTGTTTTCCAAAGCCTTCTAGTTGCGAGTATGTCCAGTTTAACAATTTGTCGCTTATCTTAATGCTGTCAAATCGCGAACGCCATGTTGTTTTCATAGCCGTCTTAATATTATAATACTGCAAATAATTAAAAATATTTATCGTTATTTTGACTTTATTTTTGACTTTAGCGGAAAAGTCATTATGAACTTTTTTGTTTAAAATTTGATGCTTTAACAGAAAAAAATATAATATACAGGGGTTTCCATTTAAAAAAATGTTATTTTACTGAAAAAAATCAAAATAACGACTCTCAATTGTTTTTTTTTATTTCTCATTTTTACCAGCGTTAAAAATGCTACTAGTTTGCTAATTTAAACAACTTTGTATTTTTACTAATAACAAAGTTACCAATGGTGGACACTTAATTTGGATAACCCTGTATATGGGAATATTGTCCAGTCTGATTTGAATGAAAGCTGTAATACGACGTATCCTCACAGCTACCATGGCGTGCTATGTAGAATATTGCATAACAAGACAAAGTCTGACCTGAAACTGTTTGCTTTCTACCTCTCTGGCCATGACTAACCGCACACAACGTTGTTTCGTGCTTTTTAGCAATCAAGATGTACAATACTCGACACGATACCACCAATTTGGTGCCGGACTAACATAGTGCATGAGGGCTAGAGCGACATGCAATAAAAATACTTGTTTTTCGTGCTTCGCCTGATTTGTTAGCCAAATACCATTGGTCCACTGCAACGTTCCTATACAACATTTACGGAAAGCGGTGCGATATCTATGCTATTCCAAAACTTTTTGAGTCAGCTACAATTGGGATTAGAAGTACTGTAAAATGTTGTCATTGTCTTATTTTTGCAGCTGCAACATATATTTCCAAAGGAGATTACAAAAAATCCGAAGAGGCGACTGACGAAGCACTTGACATCATCAATAAAGAAACGAATGTGAACATCTACAACTACCTTCAGCAAGGCGATGGCATAGACGTGGAAGATTTTATGATCCCATTCCTGAATAAACCTGTTGTTAGACGAGCAATTCATGTAGGTAGTACCACGTTTGGCTCAAATGAGGTTTATAGTCACCTGACCGAGGATATACCAAGATCCATTGCTCCTTGGTTTGTTGAAGTAGCCAATAACTACAGGGTATTGTTGTACTCTGGCCAACTGGACATCATAGTGGCATACCCGCTGACCTTGAACTTTTTGAAACACGTAGAGTTCAGGGACATCCAGAAGTACCACAAAGCTCAAAGGAAGATTTGGTATGTTGGGAGGGAGCTAGCTGGTTATAGTAAGAATGCTGGGAACTTTACTGAGGTCCTAGTGAGAAACGCTGGCCATATGGTACCTTTTGATCAACCCAAGTGGGCTGAAAACTTGATTACTAGATTCACAAGGAACAAGCCATTCTAGTGGAGATTTGGTATTAATATAATAAACTATACTTGATAGTCAGCTGCTTTATTTATTATGATTTCCCTATGTTGACCAGGTTGATAAAAACTTCGACCACATGTATTTCCACTTTTGCAGTATACCTTTTAGTATTTGCCAAAACGTACAATGGTCAAACAAACTTTTGGAGTCATATATATTTTGACAGAAAATAGCTGTGATGGGCAAATGAGGATCATTTACATTCCCCCAGCAAGACAGCTACTCATTGTCTGCTGCTTATTGTAGAAATAATTACAAGCGTGGTGATGTTGCCATTTTTTTTTCCAAAAATAGTATTTTTTGTTAGAATGTAGTAGTGAGTTGTATCGATAAACAGTTTGAGTGCCCTGCAATTTATTCTAAGTAAACTTAATAGACTGCATTTGAAGTTTATAGGAGCACTGCTTCTAATTTCGACATTTTCTTGTAGAAACTTGATGAGTCGTTCAATCAAATCACTAGTTCATTTATAGATATATAAATAGTCATCTGTGGAGGTTTTAATGTTGATTTCTTATCTCCTACTAGGCATTTAAATAACCTATCAGATCTTCTCAGCTACATACATAACAACATCCATAAAGGGACCTACTTGGGAAAAAACATGTCTGGACAACCTCTGTGTGAATCTGGAGGACTGCGAATATTCTTGCGAAGTCTTTAATGGAAATATCAGCGATAATTTAGCGCAACTTTATATCTATAAACATCAAGGGTAAAACTGTTGAACCACCTATAAATTATCAGTTCAGTCAAAGCCAATGAAAAGAACATTAAGCATTTTCTGGACCTATTAAGGAAGGAAATTTGGTATAATATTTGTAATAATAGAAGTAAGTGGAGAATGATTTTGAGTATTTTCTAGATGCATTTAAATATTATTTTGAACTAGGTTTTCCTCTCAAAGAGAAATTGATGTCTTCAAAATTTACAAAAAGAAAAGCTTGGTAAACGACCTGCTTAATTGTTTCTGGTCAACGGCTGAAAGAACTATGAAAGCAGCAGGTAAATCCGAATTTGCATGAGAAATACTGAAACCTAAATCTTCTACCAATAATCGCGTTAGTATCATAGTATGGAGACTCAGTTAGTGACTGATAATCCACAGCAATCATCAACAACATTCAATAGCCACCTCATGGATAGCATTAAGAATTTGTCAGTTACACCAAGCCAATATGTCATTACAATCAAAAACTTGTCACAGGTTTTTTTCCATCCTGCCTGCAAACAAGACATGATACAGATAATTAAAGATTCAAGCCCAGCTGACTCTGTTGGTGAAGTGTGTGTAAAACTATGTTCCCACTTGATTGCTGATGTAGTTACCTACCTAGTAACCAGATACTTGGAAATCGCAAAAATGATTTCTATCTACAAGGAAGGAGACTCCAGTTCTGTTGATAGCTACAGCCCATTTGTGACAATACTCGAGAAGAACGTAGCTATAGCGTATCTAGGAAGTATACTAGATTCTGTTATACTAACCAATAACCAAGAATAGCATCGCCAAGGGACCCTTAGTTTTGTTTTGTAATTAGGACGCTCACTACTGAAAAGCTGTCTTAAATACACGCTTTGAAAGAAAACTGGCTTTTTTAGACCTTCGTGGGCAGGAATAACAATTATCGGCAGCTATGCTTAACAAAAGTGGCTAGCGTTAGGTCTCGTTTTAAAGGTGTTTTCATTCCCTACAACTTTATTGATCCACTTACAAGAAAAATCTATACCTATTTGAATATATGCTGATGATTGATTATGCTATGATGTTTAATAAAAAAAGTAACCTAGCAATTTTTTGTATCTCTTCATGGGGGACCTTGTGATTCACCCCCAAAAATATTCCGTTGTAAGATAAGTTATTAGATTTTTTCTAAAACAATTTATTTATGCACCTACCTTAAATTTAAAGTCATTTGCCAGAAATTAAATGAGATACATTCATATAACATGCAACTTCACCATCCAGTTAAAATCTATACATGTCGCTCTTGACCAGCAAATATCCATAAAAAACATTTAAAAATATATCAAGCTCACTCACCCTTGCAACCGATGTTGGCGCCATCTGTCTCCAATGTTAGTTAACGAGATGCCGTATGCGATATTCCTCTTATAGTATAGTAGTCAAAGGAGACTACTAGGCACCAGCAAAATAAAAAAAGCAGGATATATTCAATACATTACCTGATATACTTGACAAAACGAGATCAAATCAGCTTCCGTTCGTACTTGTGGTAGCTGGAACCGCATCAGAAATATGAAATTATTTTGTACGTACCTATGCGATTTTGAAGTGCTTAAATTCAATTCCGTTACCGCTACTAAGAATCTAATTTGAGACACTGAATTCGAATATGTTCATGAAAAAATTTTAGTGTTGGGGGAACTAATTTAGAGTAAGTCACGTTAGCCACGACAAATTTCAACACTATTATACTATGGAGTGAATAATAAGTATTTTTCAGTTTTTACTGCAAAAAAGTAATACAGATACTATGTAATTACTTCGATCAGTACCAGTGATATCTTAATAAGGTGGAGCAATACTGACGAATTAGTACGTTGTGTATGATATGGATCAAGTTGCTGACATTTTAAAATTTGTCATACCGGTATATGATTTAAATTTAGCTGGTTAGCAATTTTTCGTGTACTTGTTGTACGGTCCTCTTCGATCTTATTGAGTACAGCTTCTTCGATTTGGATGGTTCTTACACTTGCAGTTCTTCCTGCAACATGTGTGGATCTCTTGAAACTGCCTGATTCACATAGTCGATCGTGAATGTTGATGAAAGTTTGTACATTAGGCGGCGGACGTCTTGTTCGTCGAGCGGTACCCAGAGCCATTCCGCAAACGAAATGCATGTCTGTCATTTCTTGATTACTGAACTGGACCATTATGATAATTAGTAATCACCAAAACTGAGAAATATTTGGAGTCTTAGAATGACCAGACAAGAATACAAATATTTAAGAGCTGTCGAATTATTTGAAAAAATAAATTAATTCAATTGTTTTCGGGTACGTCATAAGTGTCTAGATAAGCACAATGCTTAAATACTGAAAGTTTTGCAATCAAAACAAATCAAGGTAATGCTATTTTTTCAAAAAATGCTGGATAACATTATGCGTATCTACCTACATGGAGGGTCTGAAAAGAACTGTAAGTCATGTGATATCCACCACGGCATACTTAATTAAAATAAAATACCTACCATTCTTTTATAGTTATTTAGAACAATATCATCATTTCTTTTAGTGCTAATATGCTCTAAAACAAAGCCGTTGCGGACCCGTGTTCCTATAGAAATTGCGTCTTTAAATTGACCAAGGATTTGATGGTTAAAGTTTGTCTACAAACTTTATTAACACCCTGTATGTTCCCTAAAAGCTGTATTGGTTCAAACGCGGTTTAAATGTGCACCGCTCTTCAACAGAATCTACAGTTATTCTGAATATGTTTTGCCCTGTTTACCATGTACAAGATCCTAGCCCAGAATAAAATCTCATAGGTATATTGTATGATTTATATACAGGGTGGCGCATCGAAAACGAAACCGACGCATTTACTGGCAGCTCAGTTTTATTGTTGAAAAAACGCCCAGACGCGTCGATTTTGTTTGCGAGGGCGATACAAGTTTGGCAAAAAATCACGTTAACACGTGCAACCCCCTGGGCGTGGGTGACACCAACCCTAAAATCTTAAATGGAAAGGGGGGTCAGGTTATACCTTATTTTAAAGGTCTTTCAATTCCTTTTACAATGATGTAAAATAGATGAGCTTCAGTTCAATAGTTTTGAAGATTTATTGATTTAAAGCTTAAAGTAGACTTTAATAGGTACATCAGATTAGTTTGTACTTCAGAAGAAATTTGACTAAAAGAATTTACTTAGTAAGTAAATGCTTTTCTTCACTACGCCCATGGTTTTTTTATCATTTTGTTGTTGAAAATAGCTATTGGAGCGTTTTTTTGTGGCAAAAAAGTTATTTCTTGAAGAAAGATAAGGAAATATCTCGTACTTATTTTAAATAGGAATTTAGTACATAGTTTGCGATTGATTTGACCAAACTTTGTTGCTAAAATAACTTGTAATGCTTTATTACATAAATTGACCATGGTATATTCCATAGCAGAAGGAGTTTCGGGAAACTGGGTCAGTCGCCAATAAAAACGCAACATTGAAGATCCCATAAGGAACGAAGTAATGGAAGTGGCGCTTTTAGGGCAAGTTTATGTAGATCCTACGTTAAGTACCCGCAAATTGGAGACTGTGAGTGGTGTTAGTCGACGTACTGCCCAACGGATTCTAAAGGCCCATAGTTTCCATCCGTATAAAATTCACCTGGTACAAGAACTTAATGACGACGATTCTGATCGGCGATTACAATTCTGTGAAGATATGAGTGAACAAATTATAAATGATGAACATTTTCTATTCAACACTTGCCTTTCCGACGAATGTCCGATTCTAATCCCAGAATTTATCATAAGGTTCATACACAGCAGCCACAAAGATTAAATGTTTGGGCCGGTACTTTTGGCGATTATTTAGTTGGTCCTTTTTTCTTACCTGGAAATTTGAGCGGTGAAATGTATTTCTAATTACTGGAAGACGCCATAGATCCTGCATTAACAGCCATAATTGAAAACTAGAATGATCGGCGGTACATTGCGAATAGGTTGATGTTCCAACAGGATGGTGCCCCACCACATTATGCATTACGTGTTCGACAACATTTAGATCAGACGTTTCCAGATCGATGGATTGGTAGAGGACGTGCCATTGAATGGCCCCCAAGATCGCTAGATTTATCACCTTTGGATTTCTTTATGTGGGGTCATTTAAAAAGCAAAATCTATGCTACTCAGCTAACATCATTAGAAGACCTGCGACAAAGAATTGTGAATGAGTGCCTTCAAATTACTTCTCAAATATTGCAAAATGTGCGGCAATGTTTTGAGCAGAATCTTTATTATTGCATGGAGAGTCATGGTGGCCATTTTCAACATTTACTTGCCTAACGGGTCAGTTCATTCTTCATTTTTAAATTACTTTGCTGCCAAATGTATTGATCTCCACTAATGATGATGTATTAGTTTTATTTAAGCTTTAAATCAATAAATCTTCAAAACTACTGAACTGAAGTACATTAATTTTACATCATTATAAAGGGAATTGAAAGACCTTTAAAATAAGGTATCACTCGACCCCCCTTTCCATTTAAGATTTTGGGGGTGGTGTCACCCCCGCTTAGGGAGCTGCAAGTGCTAACGTGATTTTTTGCCAAGATTGTGTCCCCTTCGAAAACAAAATCGACGGGTCTGAGCGTTTTTCCAAAAAAAAACTGAGCTGCCAGTAAGTGCGTCTGTTTCGTTTTCGATGCGCCTCCCTGTATAGAGATGAATAGACGCGGGTTAGTCTGTGCAGAGTACGGTCGAATTCTCACGAAAAACTTGTTCAGCATATCCGAGAACTCTTCCTAGGCTGGCGCTGGATTTTGATTTTTCACCTGTTCATTCAATAATTGTTTATGTGTTTCATTTGATTTCCTGTGCAAATGTTTTATTTGGTTAGTTTATTAAGAAAGACTTATGCGGTGCGGTGTTTTGTGTGTGGAAATGTGTGAATATTTTGGTGGTTTGAAACAAACTAGTGCATATGTTGTGAAGGAATACATAGTATTATTTTTTTATACATTACCATATGAAATTATACTTTGGATCGGGTACTGACAAGTGAGTCGGAGCTAAGATTCCACGAACTGCTTGTCGGGCCATATCTTCACATCGGGAGAAGCGTTTTATCGATACAGACCAGCTTGCAGTGGAATTCTTCATAAAAGGTCAAATTGTGATCTAACAATTCGCCGGACACATATTTCGGTCAAATATTGAATATTGTAATTTTCACTTCTTCGTTGAGCTGACAATCAAGGACGGACTTAGGAATCTGTCAAGGTAGGGGGAGGGGGGCAGCGGCGGTTGCATGCTTCCTAGTGGGAGCAAATGCTTTTGCGACAATTGACGAGCGGGGGTGTGATAGGTCTAGGGATAGCCCACATCTCAGGTCCAGCGACGTAACCTTTACACCAAGATACAAGCCTGTCACACCACTGGGGCCTGTACGGACCGCTTAGTATTCGATTTATTTTTCAATTTTCGATTTATTTTCCCCATCATTCCGGCTAGACGGTCATAATCTATGTTAGCATTAGACATGGACGGGTGTGGCATTTGTGGATTGTATTCACATACAACCTTTCCAATGCACTAAAACAGTCATTAAATTTTTTGCATCTAAATCCTTTATTTCCCAAACACTAAACCAGTAAAATCCAACATAACGTCTTCATCAAAAACAAACAAGATTCGGGTCAAACTTCATATAAATTAAATAAGTTATGATATATGGATACAGAACGGTATGTTATTTATGTCTTGTTCCGAAACAGTCCAGGCAAAAGTACGACAATACAGATGACTTTTGGTACCTTTTTGGTATTTCACTCCTAGTCTTTTTTATTATAACATCCTTTATAATATCGTCTTACTTCATGATATTTTGTAGCCAGCGAAATATTTTTCATAATATTAATAATAATCATCTTTATTGCCCCTCAGTCCCCCATTTACAGGACAATAATGCATAAGCGCACATTAAAACCAAATTGGATGCAAAAAATTAAATTAATGGATGTGAAATATAAAACAACAGTTGAATTAGCGAAAAGTATGGAAGTGCAACAGATTACAGAAAAAGGACGCATCATTAGGTTTAACCGCTAGAAAAAAAATATATAGAACAGAGATTTGCAAAAAGCATATAATAAAAGTTAAATGCTAGACATATAGGACATATAAGAAACAGCTGATGGGATATTGATAGTTCAAGTGTGCATTTGTTAAAAATGTTTTTTTTCTTTTCCTGTTACATATTACTCTGTTGGCTCATGTGTGCGTGTTGTCAACACCTTATATATTCAATTCATTTACTTACATTTATTTTTCTTCTTATTATTACTATTGTTTGTTTGTGTATCGAGTTTAACTATGTTACTCTTTTGCACACAGTGAGGTTAAGTGTAAGAGTAGCCATTTGGCTAAACTTCGCCACACTGATGTATGTGTATTAATAAAGACATTTATTATTATTATTATATTAAAAAAAGGCAGCCCATTCTTGTGATTCCTCTGTCCAAGTACAAACGACCACAATTCAGTATTTTTTAGATACTGCTGAAACTCATAATATAACAAACAGCAGAAATCGAATTAAAATTTTCATACACGCATACTTTAGTTTCAAATTAGTTCTAGCTTTCACAAAGAAAGGATTTGGTGCTTCTGGTTCTCAAACAAGGCAGACAGAAATTAATGATAGATAAAATTACGCTCACGTCTGAGTTATTAGGTGAGACTTAATACAAAAACCGAAGTGTGCGCCATGGCGTGCTAGGCATAAACCTCCCTCCACTCCGCGATGATCCCCAGCAACCGCTCAAAAAACTGTAAAAACATCTTAAGACATCTTAAAAAAATTAAATCATACGTATTTCTGCATCGTACAAATCATTCGAAGAATAAAAGGCACAAAAGTGGACTTTGGGACGTTGGATATTTGTCTAATACTTTGCATGACATTTAACGTGTTAAGCAATAGAATATCTGGACTTGACATTGCTTGGCTACTGGGCAACCAGAACTGACAGATTCGACTAACGTATATTAGACAGTGACTAATGGGCAAAGATCCTACGGACCGCCCTGACAAACAAATGATGAATAGTAGAATATCTGGAAAAGACTAAAAACGCCTAAACACTCGGTTAGACATTATTATTTTTGAGGTTGCCAAGTGACTAAATTAAGGAA